TGTGTGGAGAATGTTTATAGTTGGGGCTTTGAGTGTCGCACAAACTATCCACCCTGCCCGTTGTCTGAAAAGCAAGATGAGGTTAAAAACAGGGGCCTCTGTTAAATTTACCCTTATTTTTATTCTTTGATAAAAGTAATTCATCGGTATAGTGGTGATTTTTAATACAAAGGGATGCATTACTATCAACCTTTTCCCTACTTCAACTGGAATGACAAAAGCAGACATCAGCTGGTGAACCCCACCGTACTTCAAGAGTCAAAATGGTGGGTTGGTGAGTAAAAAGTCTGAGAAGAACCCAAAAGCCATGAGAGTTGTAACTGGTCCATTACTGACTTATGTATAATGTATGACACTGAATTAAAAAGTTAATCAGAGTCCATAAAATGGACTGCAGGGCTCAGCTGACATACTTGTGTATGAGCACATGCAATGCTATTTGAAAACTCAGGAAAACCTTTTAAAATCTGCAGCTAAGTTGTGGAAATCATAGTCCAAAGTTTATTCATCTGAATATATTTGTGTTGCTTGCTGGAAGAGAATTCTGCAATACCTGAAAACCGAGGTCCAAAAGTACCTTTATATGGTAGTTCTAGGTATTTCTTTGTAGAAAGTACATCAATGAATAACCTACTTATTTTGTAGGTGAATAATTAGAGATGTTGCTGGATTTCATGATGATTTTATCATCTCTATGGCAAACAGCGACAGCTCTTATATCAGAGCATTGGTTGACCCATTGCATGACTATGTTATGACCCCACTATGACCATGCTGTGACCCTGCTATGATTATCTTCCTATGTCACTACCATAAATATGCTGTGACACTCCTATGAATTGTAACAAAGTGATGATCACACAGCCATGACCTTCCTATGACTATGGCTAGTCCCACTTTCTGGACACTGACACATGACCCTAAAACTGTTAGAAACTTTCACAATGGAGGGTTAAGAAAACTTCAAATAATTAATTCAATTAATTCAAACATACGTCCCCTCATGTTTAGTTAAATGGACAAACATTTTTCTTGACGTTTAGTTTTGTTCTATAGGTAGCAAAAGAGAAACGAGGCAATGAAAGATGAGGTAGATATAGTCTGAAATGACTGATCAAAGCCTTTTTAGAAAAATGTACTGTACATAAAATTATAGTATGTAGAGCTCTCAAACAGCAAAAATGTTAATTTCTTGACCCTGTACACACTGAGTCAGCACTACAATTGCAATTTAAATATGCCAGATGGGAAATGAATTCTCCTTTTAGAACAATTCCTTACAAAAACATAATTTCTATTTAATTCCCAAGCAAACAAACAAACAAAAAAAAAAAATAGGATGTCATATTTAAGCACATTACGACACTTAGAGCGCCGAACATGATGCAAAGTCGGGCATGTTTGCCCCGAAGACTAGCAGCTCTTTGGGGAGAGAGGCCATCGAGCAGTCTTATCGACATTATAGACGCCTCAGCCTGGAGATAGGCTTCACATCGATCCCCTGATTAATTACTATCTGCAGGCACCAGCACGGTGAGGAGAAGAAGCTGAGACAGGCGGGGAGGGTAGGAGGAAAAGTGAGAGAATGATAGGAAATGAGGATAGGGTGTGAGAGGAGGGTGGATGAAGGATTGGAAGAGTCCGGCTTGTATTATCTATGAATATCAGCTAAAGGCTACACAGTAATCTTCGAGGTGGAATATTATTTATTGATACATGGGTAGGCTGGGAAGCTTATCTAAGCTGCAACCACCTCCTAACACCGCCAAGGACAAAATAAAATTTACACATTACTGGGGTGGAAACAACTTGCAAAGACGAGTAGAGGACACTGAAGAATCCACCCATGTATTCCCAACTGGGTTACACACAGCCCTCTGTAAATACCAGTGAAAATAACGACATGTGGAATACAGACATGTATTCCAACCTCTTTTAGCATGCAGAACAAACTATCAAACACTGAATTGTTGATAAGCACCCTGAACAGAAAGCTTCAATGAACACTGGGTAGTCAGTAAAAAGCTAAAGTCCTAGCGTTAGTCTCCCACTTGAGTCTAGCTTAAGACGGGGCTGTATATTTAAATGATATGCGGGAAATCATCTTTTCACAAAACTGACAGTGTGCATCGAGAATCTATTTCATGTTCTCATTAAATCATATGAAGTTAAGCCATGTCTAAAGAAAGTAATAACTAGAACAGAGGTATAGCAGTCCATCGCCTCAGACAGTAAACAGGGTTGAAGGTGACAGTGCGTCAAAGCAGCATCTGGCCGCAGTTTAAAAATATCACGTAATATCATGATAAATTATTATGGTACTCCTCGGTGTGCGTTTGCAGTGTTTGCTTATGTGCTAAATAAAAATGAAAAGCTTACATGAAATAGTGCACAACAGTAAGAACGCCTGGTTTCCTAACAGATTACATACAATTAAGCACTTATAAGGCTTTGCATAAAAAAAAATATTACATTCAAAAGGATTTGCAAAACATTCATATTCACCAAGTTAAGCCAAAATAGGAGGCTACAGATGGTCATAAATTAACAGTTGTTTAGGAGCCACAAGAGCCGGCTGTCTGGAAAGAATCAAATGTCCCTTCGCTGTTTGGCATTCTCGCAACTATTTCAGAAAATGTTAAAGAAAAAAAAAATACTGGAAATACAACAATATTCTGGACAAATTTTACTCTGAAGGGCGTTACATATTGTCTCCCACAGATTAATTTAATGTTTCTAAGGGCATACGGCTTAATGAGTCATTTATACTTTCTCAGTGTTTAAACAGTACAAAAGAAATCATTTAAAACATTGTTAGAACGCTTCTGTAAAAGTAAATAAATAAATAAATACAAACAATTCTGAAAAAATAAATTAAAAACATAATTTCCATCAGCATCAAACACTCCCTGGGTGGCATTAAAAAAATCCCGTACGAGATCTTCCAAGAGCTCAGACAGACAGAATGAATCAGACGACGCTGCCAAAATCACAGCAATTATGTTCTTAAAAAAAAAGAAAAAAAAAAGTTAACTAAGGCCTTAGCCTTGTCAAACTGGAATCCAAAAACACTTCTGTAGAATAAAAAGAAAACAGACACACACCCTTTATCAGACTAAACAAAGACGCTGACAAAGGATCTCCTCCATCCAGCCAGACCTATAAATATTTAGAAGCATCGGAGCTTTAAACAGTAACAAATACTCTCAAGCCTTCTGTAAAAAGGCTAGAGAGAGGATGCAGGTACTAGAGGCTGCAGGGATTGTTCACTGTCTGCTACTAACTCTACTTAACCTGACCAGAGTCGGCTGCTGCTTGTGTGCTCACTGACATTTTCCATGCATCCCAAACTGCAGCAAAACAACACACAGGAGACCAACAATAGTCTTAAGTGACTTGACAGAAGGCCGAAATCTTATAATGCTGCAAATACATCAGGAAGAGCAGTCATTGCACTTTACATAAAATCCTAGTTTTAGTGTGACAATAACTCTATTTTATGTTTGTTTTTTTTCCAGGTCATAAAAAAATAATATTACACAAACATAACCAGCTTAAATACAAGATTTAGTTTGGCAAATTATGTTGCTTATTGTCCAAACCAGCCTGGCCCTCTATAAAGAAAAGTAATTGATGCACTTCCTAAATCATTATTTAACTACAATCACCTACATTTTTGTGTTCAGTTTCATTAACCAGAACAAAGACAAGTTACTATGTAGCTTGTAACTGTAACTGTCAGCTGAGATTTTCAACAGCAGCACAATGTGAAATCGAAAGAAATTCAAGAATTCGTTCAAATACTTTAGCATCTTGGTAGAGAGGATCACTGAGATATTTCTAAGGCTTTCCAATGCGATAGAACCACAGTGTGAGCTTTTATCAACAAAGAGAGAAAACATGCCAGAGTGGTGAACCTTTCCAGGAGGCTCCAGCTTACCAAAATTCTTTCAAGAGTGCACTGAATAGTAGGAGGTTACAAAAAAATCCTAACTTAATATAAAATCTGGACATGCTTGCCGATGGAAAACCTAGATTCCATGATTCAACAATAAAAGAGAGCGAGGAAAAATGGTTTCCATGGAAAAGTTCCCAGACCAAAGCCACTTGCTTGGACAAATGGCTTTTCTCAAATTTGCCACAAAACAGCAAAAGAAAAAAAAAAAAAAATTATGATCTCCAAGACTTTTGGAAAAATGTTCTGTGGACTACTGAGAAAAAAAAAAGGAAGGAGGAGCTTTTATCCCCTCCCTGTTACATTTGGTCCGTTACATTTGGTTTAAACTAACCCAGAGACTCAAAGAACAGTCCAACATGGTGGTGGTAATGTGTTGGTCTGCAGCTGGATGACTTGAATGAATTCTCAGCCACACATTCTGCTTGATACCAGAAAATCCAACCATTCAACCCTCAGACCAAGGCAGTGATACTTAACCCACCAATAAGTCCATTTACAAATGGCATAAAAAAAAAATTCCTCCATAGTGAGGTGGAGCACACATTGCCAGTTATCATAAATGCGTAAAAGCAGTTGTTGCGACCAAGGGTGGCACAACGATTACTTTTTTTTTTTTTTAACGCAGAGTTGGCTTTGATAGCTTTTTCACTTTTTAAAGCAGATCATCAAATTCTTGGCAAAACTTGCAACAAATTGTGGCTTGTTTTGTCAGTTTTCTTCCAATCATGTGTTCTGACAATGAAGATGCCAAAGGCAGAGAAAGAGACTTTCACTCTACAAAGCTGGCTTGAAGAGAAAAATAAAGAGGAACAAAAGAAAAAAAGAAAAATGGTAGATCAGACTTCTGCCACACATGTGAGGACAAACAGAGGAGAAAAAGAGGAAACATCTCCGTCTGGTAATAAGGTGACTGGTACTCTCTAACTCTCTGCGCTGAGACAACAATAGGCAAATTGTGCGATTGCGTGAGAGTGTGTGTGTGTGTGTGTGTGTGTGTGTGTGTGCGTACATGAGCGCCATGCGCTTTTCCATTCTCACTGACCTGAAAAGTTCTGTTAATGCTGGATCCACAGGCACTGAGGGAGAAGCAGAGAGAAGGAGAGAATCATGAAACGGCACCGGCTCCAGCTGAACACACAAGCCGTAACACACATAAAGGGAACCTGCTGAAATGTTGATCTCTGTGACTTCTCGTCTGCGTAGGCTTGCTATAAAATAAATTAACCGTGAAACACTTGAAACACTTAAAGCTGGAAACATGTGGGAATTAGTCAGTCAGCGTCTAATAAAAATTGTTTTATTTTGATGTTAAAAAGTATATTTTCATTACTTCTGTTCACAAATACAAATGTATTGTGTTTAACATTTTTAAATAGCTTAGATTAAATAACTTTTAATAAATTAGCATGTACTACATGCTAATTTATACACGTTTTTTTCTTCATTTATTGTTTTTTTTTATATATTTTTTTTTTCCATCCAACAGGTGACAACCACCATCTAATCTATTTATTTATATAACTTTCCAAGGCAAGAGGTTTTGACCACCCACAAGCATAACTTGGTGGGTCACATAAAAGTAGAATTTTTGGCAAAATTTACAAATTTAATGAGAAATTTAAGCAAATGCATTTGATAAAAGACCAGATTTTTCATCTTGGGCACCTCATCTAAGAAGCAATATACAAATCATCTCATACAGTTTCAGAAGAGATATGGTGTCATTTGAAATTGACACACATCACAGATGTTTGACGTTTAAGAACAAGTCATTTCATCAATAGCAATCCACTGAGCAACAGATACACCATCAATGTTGAGGCTGCACACAGACCTCATTTAAATCTTTACATAGCTTTGCCTCAGACCTTGGCTTTTTTTTTTTCCAAACATTAAATCATTTCGTCTTTGTAATTTCATTTATATGTCATGCATAGAGAACAGATTTTTTGATTTTTTCATATGAATTGTAGATTCCAAGGACAGTCGGACACTTTTATCATGCCAACACGTGCATTTTGCTTGTAAAAGTAGAAATGACACAACACTGTAAGATTATATCTGGATGATTATTGGGGACACAGATTTGCTTGTATTTGTAAAATAAAAATTGACAATACTCGGGATTTAAAAGTGATAGGGTTGTAATTATGAGATCAGTCCCTTCATATTCTTGTTTTCACCTGCTGAATGTTGGCTATAATTATAATCCAAAACAGATTTGAATGTCAAATAAATGTTGACTTTCAGACCAAAAAAAGCAGGTGCAATTTGATCTTAAATGTACAACAACAGTCAAGATTTTGCTTAGGCACATTCTGTCTACACATCCAAACCGAAAAGGAGTTACATTATTTATAAAAGTGAAATTTTAGTGAATGTCAGTCATGATGATCTAAATCAAGATTGAGACTTTTAAACAATGTCTACACTGAACCAAGATGAGGAAAAGATCCAAGTTGTCAACTGTGTTTTACAAGACTAACATCTCCTCCCATTGAACTAACTGTCTGTACAGGTATCATGCCGAGTTGATTTTTGCCATCTTTTGATAATTGAAAAGTATTTTGTGTTGTAATTTTGCCCCTACAATACAGTATGTTATTCTTGTAATTTTGTACATGCCTGACTTACGTATCACTTTGCTGATGTTACACCTGAATTCTTCTCAGTCCATAAGTTCACATATGCCCGTACTCGTTGGAAATTAAGGTTAAAATTAATTATATTAAATGCAACTTTTTCATGATATCCAAAGGGCATCTTTGTGGTAAGAGCACAACTCATATTTCAGTGAGTTAATTGCCAAGGGAAATAGCCTGAGTGTAAGTCAATTTGCAGTCATGTGTGGCAGTTTGGTTGGAGGACATGTGTAGTGATGAACAGCTGCGATTTATTTACTTATTTTTTTTCTTTGCAAATATAAATTCAACTCTATAACCTCGTCATACCACCGAGGCATTTTGTTGTCGACAAACAACCATTGCAACTCAACTCAAAATTTCAATGGCACTTTAGATGAAACAAATGTGCTGCTTCAGGTGCCAGCAGAAATCGAATATTTGGACATTACTTTTGACTAAATATTGGACAGAAACCATGAGTCACAATGTCACATCTTGACAATTAAGGAACATTTAGTCATGTTTCTATGGGAAGTTATACAGTTTAACACAAGAAAGGAAACACTGTAGCTTATATAGTCATCAGCATACTTTATGAGCCAACATCTTGCTGGAGGAGTAAATAACTTTTGAGATTTTCATAACATTTTTAGAATTTAAATGTATCTTCTTTTTTTTTCCCCCCCGTTTTGGGAAAACAATGTTAGGTACTTCAACACAGGTATTAAAAGATGAAGCAAGAGGAGCATCATCTCAGCTTGCTAGAGTGGACTGAGCAGCCTTTTAATGTTTCATTTAATTTTATTCACTTTGAAAACACACGTCCTCAGCTTCGTCAACAACATAAAAGGGAGCCATTGTTTTGTGAACTGGAAATGAGAGGTATCTACTCAATGAAACCCTCCGTTTAGTCCGATTTGTGGTGCGTACTACTGCGATTCCTGCCAATGTTTTATTTTTGAACAAGGCGTTGAGAAGGTGGACTTCTGTTGCTGCTAGATACATGTAAAGCGAAGATAGAGGAGGAGTGAACCAGCGAGAGAAAGCAACTGGAGTGTAACTGCTCAGGATCTGTGTGCATATACGCGTTTGTGTTGGGAGAGTGAAGGTCACCCTGAATAGAGGTGTGTGTTTCTGTGTGTATCTGTGCAGATACCTTTGGAGCGTGTGCGATGGCGCTTATCGTCTGCATCCACCTCCATCTGCAAAAAAGGCACAAACAAGCTGTTCAACACAACAGACAGACCGGTGAAATTATCTTTAATTTGGATACATGTTCTCTCCGGTTCAGAGTGCTATTTCCACCCTGTCAGGCATTTCAGTTCACACCTGATGTGCCAGAAGGTTTCATGTAGATGACTGATGGGCAGCATTAGTGTGAATGATTAAAGTGATTTAGAGAGTGCACAGTCGATTTTTCTTATTTTATTTTCTTACTGGATAGATGTAACCCGAAGTCTTTGTTGTGAGCCCATCTGATGAATTGACATGAACCCAGCATGCATTAGATAGGATTCGATGTAGCCTGTAGTTGCAGACCACATTACATCTCAGCTCTTACTAATTTAAGGTATTTACGTTAACAAGTAAAAAAATGTAAGATACTTAACTCAAATAAGTAAATCAGGCAAAATGAATGTGCCAGCAACCATTTCGAAACAGAATTTTAATAATAATAATAATAGTTTGCGAAGGGTTACATACATAAAACATGCAATTATAATTTTAACCCTATTCAAGGTGTAAATACCAAATATGTCTTCCCAATATTTAAAAGTACCTATGCTTACTGCAGTGAATTTTTCCATATTCTGTCAAGTTACTGAATACTTAGTTTTCAAGCTCATGTTATCTCATAAACCTCGGAGTCCTTCAGAGAGCCGCTGGATTCAAACTGACTTTAAATTAAACTCGGATGGACTCTACTAACTAGATCACTTCTGAAGGCAATTGGTTGAACCAGATTGTATTTGCAGTTATCGACTAACTGCATACCACGCTCGTCATATTTTTATTTGAAAAAGTGCAAATCAGTTTAACATATGCAAAACTTTGTTGTTCTGTCACATAAAGTCACAATAAACACATTGAACGTTTGGTTTTGACATAAGAACATGGGGAAAATGTCGGTTGAACAAAGATTTTGCGGGTTGAGTTACGTTACAGATCCCACAGCATGATCAAGAAGATGTCCTTAGCTTATATGTAACCCTTATTCGTTGAGGTCGCACTTGGCAAATCACATATCATTTAAACAGAATTTAACTTTTATTCTAAAAATGAATTTAAAGGTTTTGTAAAAGTCTTTTAAATCTAAAAATGTTTTCTTGAAACCATCAATACCACCGGGTGCCAAACGTCTCTCCTTCACTCAAAAAGTATCAGCTTCTCTCCAAAAGGTCAATAAATGATTCCCCAAAGTCCCGGTGGTGTCATTAGTAAGATCCAATCCTTCTGATCGACAAGCCAGCCTTCTTTTAAATATACTTCTCCAGTTAAGTATATTGACCTCCAGTGTCCCAGTGGAAACGTTTTGGAAATGACTGGTCCAGCTGAGATTTGTCTTCTCTCACAGCTTTCTTGAGGAAGCAAGCGCTCTAGAGATCTCTTGCTTCTAACTATTTATGCGATAAAGTACTCTGACTAATTTTAAAGTGATATTTTTTGGAGTACACATCCATTTTCCAACACACATATTTTCCAGGGGTTTTTTTTCCGTTGTTGCTTTTTTAGCTTTCAATATATGTTATGCTGAAGTGATGAAATTTGAAACAGCTTTTAGTAATCTTTACATTGAGGTAGGTGAAGGTAGGAATCTTCTTCTGAGGATACATACATTGTCTGCTCTTCAAAAACAGGTTTATTGTCTGAGAAAAAGCTCAAGATAACCTAAATCACTCTATGTAGTTATGCAGTTACAGGCTTAGGCTGCTGGAGGACACAATATCCACGTTTTCTCACTCTGCTACATTCTCCTACTACTCTCCAATTTTTAATTATAAGTGTTATTTCAGCCTTCAGCTGTGTGTTCTCTCTCTGTTTTTTTTTCTTCATAAAAGCTAAATCGTGTCTAGTGTTCTGTTTAGCTGTGATACCTTCCTGAAGTAGGACATCAGTAGTGTTATTTTTTATTCACCAAGTATGGAAACCAGCATATAGCATATTTACCTGGCTATTTCTGTCCAAGAAAATGCCACTGAAAGAGCTACTATTGCCTTTAATCTTTTAACATAGGCATTATGTTAAAGAAAAGTGCTTCCTTTGTATATTCTTCGTCTTCTCAAACCCCCAGACTGCTGGCCGTTCACACAGTCAGGCTCTGCTGGGGTTCTCTCCTGTTAAATAGGAGTTTTTCCTATCCACTGTCGCTACATGCATGCTCATTATGGCCTGTAAATGTCTTGTACTTGTATGGTGCTCCAAAGTACTTCACACTACATTCAGTCATTCCCGATTCACACACACATTCACACACTGATGATGGCAAGCTACTGAACAGTAGCAGTAGCAGTCTTACTGTATGAGGGATGACAAAGTAAATGTATCACAATGTCTGTCACCACATTCGACGAGTGAATGCTGCAAGTGCGTCATTTGATGCAATCTGTTGAGATTACTTAGATTTTTTTTTACAGTTCAAATAAACTTATTTGTATTGTCTGTCATGTCTGTACTTAACTTGTAATCTGTCTGTATATTTACAGGGAGGTGCTTTGTTGCATCCGTGATATTAAACCATTAATGTTGCTTTCACTTCACCACAGTTTTTTAGGATCAACTTGAAGACGCTAAAATGATTTTGATGAAAATGTATTCTTACTAATAATTTTGTCAATTTATATTATATTTCACATTTTTCATTCCAGATACAAATTACTTCTTTTTTTTTGTATCTGGATCTAAGATACAAAAAAAATTACAGCTTTATAATGCTGTAATTATATGATGCAAAAGCATCATATAATTACAGTGACTATGTTTCTTATGCGGTCTGTGAATACAATGATTGAATTGCCAGGGGTGAATTATTTTTTCTTGGAAATTACTCAAAATCAACATAAATTCCATAGAGACTCATATTTTGCCAGAACTGATGAGCTGAAGTTTGGGAATTGCCTTCAAAATCTTCACTGTTAACCCAATTCCAAAAAGGCTCAAGGATATGCTTAATGAATATTCACATTTTACCATTTTTCTTGCTTTTTTGGCTGAAATAATGCCAAAAATATTTATTGTGAATTTTATTTGGCATCTTTTGTTCTCATGTCCAAGAAATCTCGAGACTGTTTTGTATATTCATTTTGCAGTTGTGTTGATTTTTCCTCTAAAAACGGGTTTATGACCCAGGACGTTCAAGCTGTTTTTACACCAGAGTAAGCATTTTCCTGACATCTTTTACAGCTATCAGACCTACATATCTCTTTCCTATATAGCTTTATCACCTCAACAACAGATCATAAATTGCGAAGGAACTTGAATGCCAATGAACATTCTTCTGTTATTTCCAGATGCCTCTAAATATTCATGCTTGCCAGGATTGGAAGATGACGGGGGCCGTGTTTGGGTGTCTCGTTTTATTCAACATGATTTATTAACAGCATGCTTGCTTTACTGTAGAGCCTCTCAGTACTAATGGTGTGTTTCTTTATGAATGCCTATAAATGTTTCAACGGGAGAAAAATAAAAAGATGAAACACAAAGATAGCTTATAAATCTTCTCAGTGAAGAAAAGAAGGAAGCAACATATGGGATTTTTGGTTATGGCAAAGAATCAGAAGAGGAAGTGAATTTTAGCCATTTCTACATATCATTATATGTAGAAATGGCTGCAGTTATGGAGGAAAAAAAGATTTCATGATGACTTTCAATATTATTGTGGGTTAAAATAAGTAAATCCCATTATTCAATTGTTTAAACTATTGCCTGTATTAACATGAAGACTTAACCTGTCTCTCAAAATATAGTCTAGACATTTTCAAGTCTACTTTTTGTAATAAAATTGCCTCATGTCAGTGATATTTTATTTGGCATTAGTTTCTGTGACAGCATTTTAATCAGGTCGAGGTTTGGACTTTGACTGGGCCACTGAAAACATGATGTTTTTGTTGTTTTTTTCGTTCTTAGTCATTGTGTCCAACATTTTTACATTGGCTCTAGAATAATCTAGTATACATAGGAGTTTGTAATAAATTCAATAACTGCAAAGTATCTGGGACATGCGGATGTAAAACAAACCAAACTCGGTGAATCCCAAAAACTATGCCATGCCGGTTTCTTCCCAGTCAAGGTACTGCGGAAAACATATTTTTCTTCATTTTTAATCTGTCTTGTGATTTCCTTTAGATGAACAATTGCAGACCAAAATAAAGATGCTACATACATTCGAGAGAAAACATCCTTTCTCCAGAAAGCCATTCCAAACAAGCTGTTTTTTTTTCAGCCTTTTTCCATCTGAGCTTTAACATTTTGCATGCTAACTGATGCATGTAGCAATTAAAGATAGAGTTCTTGGGTTTATTGCAATTTTCCTCACCACTGTGTACTTTGACCTTGGAGAGGTAGCTGTTCTGAATGTATACCTTTTGTGAAAAAATCTATTATGCTATTGAATAATGGACTTCAACATTGTTTGTTCCAGTTCAAGAACATTTATAATCCTCCTTTAGGAAATAAACATTCCAGTAGGGCGGAGAGATCGTGCCTTTTAATGTCACAGAACAAAAAAAAAAAATCAGTTTCAATGTGATGCAATTTTTTTAAAGCTCTGTTTTATTACCAGGATCGCTTGTGACACATTATAAGAAGACAAAATTTTGCTTTAATTAAATGTTTCCTAATTAAGTAAATTAAATGATCAAGCAGCGCCCTTCATTAAAAAAAAAAACAAAAACAAAAAACAAATAAAAAACAAAAAAACAACAACAATGTATTTCAAACCTTTGCTACAAATGGTAAATAAAATTCAACAGCTGCGTTTTAAAGGAGAAACTTGCTAGAAAATGACTACTGATCTAAGAAAACATCTACTTTATCTGACGGTCTTGAAGGGTAGTCCAAAGGGAGAATTCATAGTGTGGAAAATTTAATTTTGTGAATTACTGCTCCATTTTCAAAATAAATCAAGGATAAAGTAGAACATGTTGAAGAGGAACATTATGATGTGCTTGGCATGCCGTCCTCCAAACTTATCTGTTCCTGATCAGAAACAGCAATCAACAGCTGCCAGCTGGCTGAAGCCGAGGCTTCGGAATGTTTTTTTTTTTCCAGATAATCAGTGGCTCACATCACAGTGGAGATGTATTGGTATTAACTCCAGTTTTGCTTCATGTACATTGATGTTCCTGTTGCTCGACACTTTGCTTGGCAGCAGATTAATACAACAAGGAGAAAACAGAAGAATCTAAGAGAAGACTTTAAGTCAGCTGCAAGATTTGAACATATTAGCTGTTGGTTTTAACCATTAAGAACTGATGCGGCATTTGGGTTCAACAGTTCCTAGGGATTGAATGAATTAAAATGAAAAGCAGGTATAAAGAAATAAATAAATAGTCTAAGCTTTTAGACACAAGAACAAGATTTGCTGTGGATTTAAATACAAATGTAAAAAAGTCCACACTCACATACCAGTTCTGATTTTTGTAACTAAGTCTTTAACATTGTGTCCAGCTGAATAGTTGAAAACAACAGCAGCAAATTCTTCGCCTCCACTTTCTCGTCAGAGCTGAGCCCAGGAAACCCGCAGGCCTCTGACGTACCGCACGCCACTGTGGCTCATCGTATGTCGCAGCCCTTCATACCCTGTCTGGCTTTTACTGTCTCTTAGGACCCCATGAAAAAATGTCACAGCTGTAATGAAGGTTAGTGTGCTTATTGAGGATTAGTTGAGGCCCGCTCCTTCCCCCATCTGTGTCTCAATTAGACCCCCTGGATCAATGGCTTTATATTCCGAGACAAATAAACAGACAGTTATGTTGATCCCACAGCTTCGAGAGTCATAGAGATGATCAAACCTGTACCATTTTGTATGTTTCTCACAATGAGCTTTGGCTGTTTTTCTACATTTTGGTAAAAATAAATAAATAAATAGAATAATTACTTTATTTATAAGGTAATAAATAAAAACATATTTTGTAGAAACAAAAAAAAGCTTTGGCCATTTTTCTACATTTTGGTAAAAATAAATAAAATAACCACCTCTGTTGTAAAAAAAATGTTTTAGGAAAAAATAAATAAGTAATTAAATAAATAGAGAAAGGCAAAAAAATGACTAGGGTCATTATTTTAGGCAGAGGATCAAAAATACATGTTAAAATAAATAAAAGGCTGGTATTAATTTATTGTGAAGAGTTTTCGAAAACATACTTTTTTAAATTACATTTGACTTATGCAATCATCACTGTATTCTTTAAATGGGATTATTTACCTTTTCATTCCCTCCTCTTCAGTTATTTAAACCTGCAGCAAACAGGATTTTAAAAAAACTCCAGGACGACATATTCAGTTTGACTTTTTAGTTTTTACAATGGTCGGAATGTCGTTACAAGTTTTTAATTTGCATACACATCTATTTTTTTTTTCCATAAAGTCATGCCATGTAGTATATGTTTCACAAAGATTTTTCACTTTCTAGAGACTCATATAAAGCCTCTGCTCTAACTTTAAAAAGTGTCATCCAGAGGGAGGTAAAATAAACTTTTGATTCCACAGAGACATTGCAAACAGCAGCTGTTTAAATAGCATGTGTGTTTGCACTGATCGAAGACTGCATCAATAGAAAGTAAAATGTAAATTAAAATGGCTTTGCTTGTTATTAGTAGGTCTTCACCGTTTGCGCGGAATGTCTTCAATAAAAAGTTTTTTATTTTGATTGAAAAGAATGGATTTTACAACAAATAAAACTTTTTATTATTATTATTATTGCAATATGTTGCATGGTAGAAGTATTTCCTATTGGGTAATGAGGGAGTTGTGACTCTCAGACATCAGTCTTAGCACGTTGTGTCACTGTCAGTTTTTGGGAGAACGTGCTTCAGTCATGTGGCTCCCAGCTCCACCTTAAGTCACACACATGCTCACATTCACAGGCTGGCTGCTGTTCTGCACAGAGCTGCAGTGCAAAGCTGCACAGGCATTATCGAATTTCACTTCAAACACATATTTACACCATGCATCGTGTAGTGACAGCAAACACATGTGCCTGAGCGATGCTAAGTGCATCTGAATTAGTGTGAAGGGTTGTGGCGATAACATCGGAGTGGCTGCTGAGCGAGAAAGAGGGTGAAAGTGACGGAGGCAGACGGGCCAAAATTTGGCACTGATTCCTAAATACTGTGGAAAATGGCTGTGGTTGGTTGGGGAAGGGCAGCTGTGCAGCACTCAAAAGCGGTTAGAGCGAGAAAAGCTGTGATTTGAGCACAATAAAACTATTTATCAGCTGGCCTGGTGATGCCAAAATGCAGCTGTAGTGAAGGCCTTTCTGCACAGAATGCATAGAGGTCCTTCCACAAGTGTTTACAACAGTTTTTCTACATTTGTCCTGCAACAACCACAAACTTCAGTGTACTGTACTTTGTAGGAGCTTGATGTGATACATACCAGTTGTGAAGTGGAAAGAAAATGATACAAGCTCAACTTTACTGGAAAGAGAGCATCTATGAAGAGCACAGATTGTTTTTAGAGTCACAGAGTTCCCAAACAGTCCAGAAGATGTTGTGTTTTTCCTCCCCTCTGCCCTCGTGATCTTTTTTCTTAACTATTTTACGACATTCCTTCCTTCCTACCTATTATGTTTCTTCTTCTTTCATTCCTATTATGTGTCCTTCCCATCCTTCTTTTGTTCCTACCTTTTATCCTTCCTTTCCATCTGTCCTTCATAACTTTCCATTGCTGTGTTGCCCTCTCTTCTTCCCGTCTTCCTTCAAGGAAGACAGGAACCTTACTAAGAGGTTTCCTTTCTTACTAATGACATTTCTTCCATCCTCCCTGCCTCCACTTTTTGTTTCTACTCTTTTCTTATTTCTGTGTTTCTACTCTTTTCTTATTTCTGTGTTTCTTTACTTGGTTTAGTCTTTTCATATATATATGAAGCTTGACAGAAGAAAATATTTGTCTAAATAATTCTGGTTGGTGCAGATCTACTTTAGTAAATGTTGATTTTAGAGGGTCTTCATATCCAAAAGTGTCACAATACGTTTGTTAACCAACTTGTTTGTACAGTGTCCTTGGCTGTTCTGAAAGGTGCTTCATATAAAATGTATTGTAATATTGTCATTAAATGTTTGGCATTAGGCCATTTTGAACTTTAATTCCCTTTATGAACATTTCTAATCTATTTTGACAGAATTCCACTACAAAAACGTATTGAACATCTGCAGAACTCTTACTTTAAATGCAAATTTTAAGCCAGTACTATCACAATTTTAAATTACTTTAAATGTTTGTTTTTTTTTTTAATTTAAAGTCAATCTCGCATTTTTGTGTCAAATCAAACAGTTGTGATCCAACAGGCAGACAAAATGGAACTGATCTGGAAGCTTTGTCAAAAAAAAAATCACAGAAAAATCAAAAAAAAAAAAAAAAAGAGAGAGAGAGAGAGAAAAAAAAATCTAAATTAATTTTATCAGCAGACCCTGTCCTCTCAATAATGGCACCTGCTGTAAGCCATTCACAGAGCTGGAAATCTATTCCTCCTCGTCACAAGAAACAAACTAAAAAAAGTAAAATCAGGATGACTGATCATGAAAAAGTTGGGTTTTGGTAAACAAACAGCACACAAAGTAACCAAGTGTCTTATTTTACTTTTTTCCCCATAATTTCCAAAATTACTTTTACAATTATTATTGAAGGCCAGGCTGTTGTACTGATATGTTTTAGATTCATCTGAATTTCTTTGAGAACAATATAAACAGCAGAGTTTGATCGTTGAACGAACCTGAGAAACGTGATTGTGTGTGAACTGTGGAAGCCGAAGCGGATCACGCGTGCAGACAGAAAGATCTACCTGAAATGTTTTGGACTTCAGACAGCTCTTTGGTCCCGACTCCTTCTGCCACCGTGATGCTCTGACGTTCAGCTATAGATGAACGGCTCACCACGTCTCCTCCAAACTCATTTTCTACACGTGGAGGGAGAGGGGGCGGGAGGAAGAAGAGGGAGAGCATGCATCATTAAAATCATTTCCAGAACAATCACATTCAGGCACAGCCATGACAGAATTTGAAATTTCCTCTACTCCTTTGACTCCAGGCTCATGAATAGTCATATAGCGTCAGCTATGCGGCACGCGGCAGAGCGAACACTGATTTCCGCCATAACGACGGTCGTGTGTCGTGTGCGATAGGCTTGGCAACATGGGGTAATTAGCTAGATCTATCATCTGCAGCAGGAAGTGGGGACAAATATAGCTAATGATCCGTGCCTGCCTCCATGATTTCTCTCCTCAGCTCTCCATCCTTGGCTGAGCTGAAGGAGCAAATAGGAAGCAGGAAAAATAAAAAATAAAAAATGAGGTGGGGGTCGATTGCTGTAAAGATAAAATAACCTAAAGCTCCAAAAGAGATAAAGATGGAAGAGATGAAGGTGTTAGTATTGAGCATGCTGGAGCACTATCTCCCTTTCTTTCTTTCTGCTTTTTTTTTCTTTTCCACTGCTGCTAATTGAGAAGATGTACAGCAGGGAACAGATGAGGTGTTGATGGTGAACAGGGAGAATCACAAAGAAGAAGGAGGGCCCCCACAGGGAGACCGCCAGACGGACGGTAACGCACACACACACACACACATTCACACAGTCATTCCCCACCTATCTCAAAGCAGCTTAAATCAAAACAAAAGCCGGTCCCTCAGGACAAACGCAAGCTCCGGCTGAGCTCAAGTCAGGCGTTATGTAAAAGGCTGTGCTTACGTACACACACGGACTTTACTTTCAACCGGCAGGGGTTCCTCCTCTACTCTTCATCATGCCACACACCTCTGCTTTCCTCTCCCTTTGTAGTGTACATAATAAGCGTGGAAACAGAGAGAGCGGGCTTGTAAGGGGACAGCGCAAACAACTTTCAAAATGGCTATTAACAGGAAGCCCTAATGGGAAACAATGGGACACTCGTGCTATATTTTCATTTACTACTGCAGCCCTGCTGTCTTTTGTTTCATGAAAAATGCATCAAAGGCTGGTTTGTATTTGATTACAGCCTCTGGAGCGCCCCAAAAGCATTTTTATGAAGAAAAAAAAAAGAAAAAAAAAAAAAGAATGCAATAAAACAAACGCAAAGTGGATTTGGTTACTGGTATGTGCTACCTTGTGAATATAAAATATGTATAACTTCAGATAAAAAGAGTGTCTCTAGTGGTAAAACACACCTAGTTCCTAAACCGTATTTGACAAAATCTATTGGAGCTTAGATAACTTCTGGCAAAAATAAATCCCATTCCTGTCAAACTTTAAAAGAACTAGCTCAAAGTTCAGTTCTCAAAGATTAAAAATGGATTTATTCTTGTTTATCGTTTACTATTTAAAATTCACAACTTAGTTTATGCTCTCATAGTTCAGGTGCATTAATATTTCATAAGATAAAGTCTTATAAAAAAAAAGATTTCAAAAGTTGGGAATGTCATGTGATGATTAGCATATTATTCATTAAGTTCTTCTCTGCCAACTTCCTACATTGATTTGCTTCTCTCTTGTTCCTTTTGCTCACATGTACTTTATCGTAATATGGTCAAATTCGAAAGTTTTTATGGTGCCATTTCAGTCAAAAACTGACTGAAAAACGTCCCAGTAAAACCCATTTATCAATAAAGTTTTGTTTATTCTCTTCACTTACTGGTTTAAGCATAATCCGTAAAAAGGTCACTCATAGGAATGGGACAGTTGTTGGTAGCAACTTCATTGGTGCAAAGTAAAATGTTTGTCATGCTGACCTCCAAGCACTAATCAATAGTATTTCCACAAACACACTATATCAGTATAGTGGAAACAATTGTTAAAGCATTAAAACAATAACGTCAATGATCAAATACAGTAGCTGCAAGGAAATTATTTGTTTTTATATATAATGAGACGCATTTTTTTTAAATAACTGGTAAGCTGTATGGCTAAATTTCTTCTTCTTCTTTTAATCTGTTACAATAACCGCACACCTGCAGACATGTCCGTTCGCAGCTTGGACACGTTCAAACATAAATACTTGTTTGGTTGTTTGTTGCTTTGCAGTTCTTCAGATGAAGGTTAACCTGTGGCTTCAGCTGGTGTCTGTAAAAGATGGATAAATCCTGCAATCAGAGGATAAATTTCCAAATGATCAGAAATTTAAAGCACCCATCCCCAAGGGTGTTATTTTAATTAATCTTAGGGAAGATGAAAATCCTTACCCAACTGCTTGGGCTGAGTCAACGAACCAAGAAGAAATGTGACTTCTGACAAGGATTAACAGTCATGATGGGAAAACATCTGGTATGCAGCAAATATTACATTTATAACTAACAAAAAGCGTATTCTACAGCCTAAACGCAAGGCACACAAACAGCAGACAAAGAGCTGCTGCAGTTGTCCAACCAGAGTGCGGGCAACTCTCATCTGCTTGCAGCAGCCAAAGCACATTCAAAAACTCTCAGTTACTGAGCCCCACCAAGGTGAATCACTCTCAGTCCACATTCATTAGTAAAAAAAAAAAAAAAAAAAAGCAGCCTCCGTCAGTTCAAAGTTCACAGATAATATGAACCCAGCCGATGTGCAGCACTGCTTCCAGCTCATAAAATACAACACACACATCGCTGGCCTCTCTGTCTTTATAATCAGAGTGTAAGTGATGGGTCTGTCCTCTGATGAAGGTCTTCATGTGGAGGCTGATGACAAATCACAGCTCTCTGACGCTTCATCAGGACACAGCCCACATTCCTCTTTTGTGTGTGTGGACCAGAAAAAAAAAAGAGAGAGAGATGAGGGAGGTGAGAGGAGAGGAGGAAGGCAAGAAAGAATGATAGAAAGACAGAAATAAAAGGAAAAATTAGATTAAACCAGACAGCGTTCAAAAGCATCAACGCAATGTGTGCCCCTGTAAATACTGGTGGTGCTTACAGTGTACGGGGCTGTTCAGCTTCTTTCTAGTCTGCAGGTTTAAGCACCAAGGACAGCGACAGACAGGAAGAATTGGCCTTCAGCTGTAATGGGAACACACACAGACACACACAGACACGGATATTCTTCACATTTGTTAGAAAGGACCGCAGGAACTCTCCTCAGACCCAGAATCCCAGGTGTGTGTGTTTAAAGTGTGATTTTCTCATAGTCTTTTCCTCTGAGAAAACAGATCATGTCTGGCCTTTACTGAGCTTCTTTATCTATCAAAGCAAGACTCCCACACACCACAATGAAACCCAGTGTATGGAAATGTACAACAACGCAACGTGGCATGATTAGCACACACACAAGAAATGCAAATATTATATACTGAAAGACATGTGGCAAAGATAAGGGAGTGCTCACATATAGGCACTTATTACAAGAGAGAAACATGCTTTATTCATGCGATGTGTGTGCGCACACAGCCAGCTTCTTCTCTCAGGCTTTGAGACTGACTGGGGCTGCCTGACCTACATTCAAGAAGATGAAATCTCTCTTTCTGCTGCTCTCCAGTCTGTGTTCTTCTCAGACGCTTGTTCACGCAGCCGAGATGAAGAAGCTGCTGTGATTTCTCGAGCCCGAAATGTACCCTCGGACTGGGGACGGACGGAGCAACGGCAACGTGCGTTTGATGGATTTCAGAGGGAGGTGATGGAAGGCTCTCTACTGCATATCAGAGATCCCTTCATCTATCCTCTGCTCTTTATCCATGTACATAAATTATTTACATCCCCATGAGGTCACCAAATTCAGCTCAGAGGAGGAGACAGAGATTAAATATGTCACATTTCACATCAAGTACGTGGTGAGAAGGGCCCAAAACTAGGAATAAAAGGGACTGGAATTTTTGACACCACAATGCAAAATGTTATGTTTTTACTTCAGAGCATCTCCTCAGATGTAATTTAATTACAAATGTGGCTGCAGGAAAAAACAGCTGAAACATTTGTCAAACAATCTTAGCTTCTCATCTGATTTTCTGGGTTTCGTGATGGAGACACAGAAAACTTGAAAATGCAGTAAATCTGCTATGCAAAAACTTAACTTGACCTTACTGAAGAAGACTCCCATCTCATCCACAAGTGAGTGTTTTTTTTCATCTCTAAACAAATGTAAACTGTTTTGTCAAGGACTGAAACGTTTGTTGGAGAACATGAGTAGAGAAAAATCATCATGGAGACCAAAGAACACAGCCACTTCGAACATCCCACACAGAACTGTTCAAGTCATCTTCTAAAAATGGAAAAAGTAAGACACATAAACTAACAAGCGGAGAATAAGAGACGCGGTCAAGGGGCTTCTGGTAATTCTGCAGGAGCTGCAGCCTATAGCTCAGGAAGCAGAGCTACCAGAGCTGAGCAACGATGACTTTGACTGTTCTGTTCAGAAGAGGACATGGTAAATGTGTCCCTGTTTACTCTGCATCCTCAGTAAAACATAGTGTTGGTAGCACCATGCTCTGGGTGGGGACAGTACGAATGCATGTCGCGTGTCAGATTTTAATTTGACTCCTTGTGTTTGTCAAAGAAATCCAACAAAAGTTTATTGCTACCATGATTTAGCATGGAGACGACGTGTTCAGGGAGTACTATAAGCAAAAGAGAAGGAGATATAGCACCTCCAGATAACCGTTATTTTCACTTCTCTTGTTCAGAGCTGCATCAATGCTGAGACGGCACTCGAGGCTCAGCTTATCTGAGATCTTTGAATTTTCCAGGTCTTGTAGGGCGAAAGAAAATGAGTTAGATGTTTGTTTCAACACCCAGTCATAATGCTTTCTAAACTTCAGCCAATTATTTTGTATTACCCGAGTACCAGTAAGGCCTAGCTTTAACGTTTTAATTTCTCTAGCAAATTACAGAGTCTCGACTGTCCGCAGACAGCTGTATTGAAAACAACTGTTTTACTGAGATTTTCATTGGTGGTGAACCATGTTGCTCCTGGTGTGCTACTTCTAAAATATTCTTCCAGAATCTTTGGACTTTTGTTTTATTT